GAGCAGCTGGTAGTTTCAAACTGCTGACCTTTAGGTTCACAGCCCGATTCGTAACCACTACGCTACCAGAGCTCCTTAGACACAGACTAGTACCTGATATAATGTAGGTGTTGCCCTTACTTAAAGACTGTCTCTAAGTTTGGTTTCTCTCTTGAGCCTTGGCCATGTGTGTAAGGGGTGGGATGGAGATAGGTGTGGGGCAGTTTATTGTTGTACAGTGCTGTTGAGTCTGTTGTGACTTTTAGTGACCCTGTGCACAACAGAACGAAACATTGTCTGGTCCTGCACCATTCTCACAATTGTTACTCTCTAGTCAATTTTTACTGTCACTCTGTGAGTCCATAATGTGTGGGTCTTCCTTTTATTCGCTGACCCTCCACTTTTCCAAGCATGATGTCCTCTGGATTGCTCCCTCCTGGTAATAGATCCAAAGTACAGTAGATGAAGTCTCACCATCCTCGCTTCTGAGGAGCATTGTGGCTACACTTCTTCCAAGACAGATTTAGTGGTTCTTCTGGCAGTTTGTGATACTTTGAATATTCTTCACCAACACCAAAACTCAAATGTATCAAATGCAACTTCTGTAGTCTTCCTTATTCACTGTGAAACTTTCACATGCTTATGAGGCTATTAAAAATACCATGCCTTAGGTCAGACCTTAGTCCTCAAACTGATGTCTTTGCTCTTGAACACTTTTAAAGAGGTCTTTTCAACAGATTTGCCTAATATAATACATCATTTGACTTCTTGACTGCTGCTTCCATAGCATTGATTGTGGATCCAAGCCAACTGATGTCTTTAGCAACTTCAATCTTTTCTCCATTTATCATGATGTTATTTATTGGTCCAGTTGGGAGGATTTTCATTTTCTTTACATTGAATTGCAACCCATACTAAAGGCTGTAGTTTTTGGTCTTCAATTATAAGTATTTCGAATCTTCTTTGCTTTCAGCAAGAAAGGTTGTGTCATCTGCGTATCGCAAGTTTTTAATGACTGCTCCCCCAATTCTGGTGCCTCATTCTTCATATAATCCAGCTTCTCAGATTGTTTACTCAGCATACAGATTGAATGGTAAAAGGATACAACTCTACCACACACCTTTGCTAATTTTAAGTCATTCAGTATCCCATTGTTCTACTTGAATGACTGCCTATTAATCTACATACAGGTTCCTCATGAGCAAAATTAAATGTTCAGGAAGACCCACTCTTCACAATTTTATCTATAGTTTGTTGTGATCTGCACAGCCAATCATCACAACAAAAAAAAAAGCACATGCAAAGTCCCAAGAAGCCTTATCCTAGAGCACTACTTTATAAAAAAAAAACTGATGGTAAAAGGGTTCTGGTTGTATGTACAGGTTGGACGGGAAGTATGTATATTCAGATGTTAGATTTGAGCCCTATTCTCCCTAGGTCCTCACCTCCAGTCCTTGTTCTCACCCCAGACCCAGTGCAGACAGAGGAGAAACTTCATCAAGCTGTGCTGAGTGCCCTCTGTAGGACTACCTACCATTGGCAGAAACTGAGGTAAGGCTGACTAGAAGGGCTTCAGAAGAAAGCAAAGTTTAACTTTAAAAGGAGAGTCGGAGAAGTACAGTTCCACAGTGATTTTAGTGTTTGTAAAAACTACGTGGATTATAAGGTTCCCTAGGACTCATCTTTGTCAGGAAGTGAAAGGATTGAGTTGGAAAAGACCTTTCCAAAGATTTTGTTTCCTAAAAATCTAGGAAGTAACTAGAGGATAGAGGCTATTTTCCCAGTGACTGTGCCTAATTTTTCTGGTAGCTACAATGAGGGACTGAGTCTGGTGTATATGGCAGCAAGACTGGACGGTGGCTTTGCAGCGGTCTCCAGGGCATTCCATGAGGTAAAAGTCCTTCAACTTCCAACCTGAACCCTTTTATCATCAATTTGTTTATTCATAAAGTAGTGTTCTGGGATAAGCATTCTTGGGACTTTGCATATAGTTTTGCTTGTTTTTTAAAGGCTCTTTTTATCCTCTGAAAGGAATCTGTGATTCAAGAAATGTTCAGAATCGCTGTTTTAGGAACTTCCTATTCTACAAAAAGTTTCTGAAGAACCTCAAGATACTCACCTCTCACTTCTTTTGTCATGATCCCCTAATTTATACCTACCAAGGCCCTAAATAAGAAGCTCTGGTAGCGTAGTGGCTTGCAAGCTAAGTTGCCAGCCACAAGGTCAGCAGTTCAAATCTACCAGCCGCTCCATGGGTGAAAAATGAGGCTTTCTGGTTCCATAAAGATGTACAGCCTCAGAAACCCTCTACCGGGTCGCTATAAGGAACTGACTCCATGGCACATAACCACCAAAGCCCTAAATAAAACTGACTTCACAGCACTTTACAACAACAACAACAAAGGCCCTAAATAAGCATATACTTAGCTTCCTGTGGTGCATTGTGTATTTTACCAGATCCGGGCTCGGATTCCAGAGTTCCAGCCACAAACTTTGATGGACTTTGGCTCGGGTACTGGTTCTGTCACCTGGTAAGTAACCGTCAGCTCTTCCTCTACAAACTCTAGCTCAGGAGAGTAATATACACCTCAACATCAAGAGACTGGAAAACCAGAGGGAAATAGGAAAGTTGGGAATTAGAATATTTCTTCCTTCAGATTAGGCATCCAAGAAAAAGGTATATGAAATGGGGTAAGAATTTAAAGAAATGTCAAGTAGAAAAAAATCACGTGTTTAGAAAGATTTAAAAAATGGGAAAGAGAGCAATACAGAGCATAGGTTGTACATATTGGTCAAAAACTTTGCTTACAAATGTTAGTTTTCCCAACCATTTTAATCTCTTGTAGGGATGACTGATTGTCATGAGAACTGGTGGTTGTTATTTTGCCATCTTAGGGCTGCTCATAATACTTGGGGCCAGAGTCTACGTGAATATATGTGTGTGGACAGCTCAGCTGCTATGTTGGATTTAGCAGAAAGGCTACTGAAAGGTGAGGAGCGTTATATGGAAGGGCTCTTCCAAAAGTGAAGAAGTTAAGAAAGCACAGTGGTGCTAAACAGCGTGTTTTCTTGAGGAGGAGAGGAGAAGACAGAAGGCTAAGTCTGGTCTCCTTACAGTGTTATGTTCAAGCAGAGGCTGGTAAAAGCATTTGCAGTACTGTGGATAGATGGGTTGGAGGAGATTACTATTACAGGAAACCAAAGAGCCTCCCTGCTCTTTAAATATTTGCTTACCCTAGCTCACTGTCACGTGGTGTTTGCATTTATTCTTAAGGCCACATTTCTTGTCTGAATACTCATACTGGTTACTGGTAACTTCTGTACATTCATAGTTGCCGTGTCTTCTTTTCTCTGTAGCTGGTTCAGAATCTGAGGAGCCTTATATTCCAGGTGTTTTTTTCAGGCAGTTTCTCCCTGTCTCACCCAAGGTAAGTGACAGTATTTGGGGTATCTCAAGTTTGGAATGTAGCAGATGAAGACAGTGGCCTCAGCTTTCCAATCCAGCTTGAGTATTAGAAGATAAAAGAAAGCAGTGGAAAAAATTTAGGGAGCAAGACTTTTTGCTGTATTCATGGAATAAGGAGACGTGTGGGTTTGGAATATGTTTTGTCTTGGTCCTCAGGTACAATTTGATGTGGTGGTATCAGCTTTTTCCCTAAGTGAACTTCCCAGTAAAGCTGACCGCAATGAAGTAGTTCAAACTTTGTGGCGCAAAACAAGTCATTTTCTGGTGAGTTGAGATCCTTTATTCTCTTAAAATCTCAGAACAGTTTCATAAGATTCATGCCTTTACTTCTTTCCAGGGGAACTTGTCTTCATTCTTGACCATTTTTAAAAATTCCTCCTCTTAGGGACTCCAGCACATCTTATATGTAGTACCCATTCCCTTTTTGGGAGCCCACTCCATCTGTGAATGCTCATATAAAGCTGTTGGCATTAATGCTTTCATGTAATTCAGGGCTTTTGCTTAAACAGATACTGGTGGAGAATGGAACAAAGGCTGGACACCGCCTTCTCATGGATGCCAGGGACCTAGTCCTTCAGGTCAGATTCCTTCTCCTTCATCCCCAGTCCTTACATCACCATTTACTGGCACTCCCTTAAAAACTGAAGAAGCTCACTCCGGAAACTTGGCATCATGAAGCTATAGGGCAGTAGCTGACAAATCTGGACTGCTACCTGTTTCCATATGAGCCATATCCATTCATTTTTCCCTTATCTATGGCTGTTTTTATACAACAGCAGAGTTGTAGAGGTAGAAATAGATTTTTTTCCTTTTTGCTTAACAAAGCCTAAAATATTTCTTACCTGGCCCTTTAAAAAAAATGTTTGCAACCGCTAATCTACCTTGCAGATCAAACGGCTTTGCAGTCTGGCATATTAAGCCACAGAGCCACACCAGGACTCCCAACAGTCTACAGCATTGTAAGCCAAGAACCTTGTTTCTGTGGGAGAGGAGAACTTTCTGAAAAGGGAAACTCTGAGTCTCTGCCTTTCTCCTGCTGCTCTTTATTGGAGTATAGGCAGTTCCCAGGTTACACACTTGTGGGCCACTCCTACTGGCCCGTCAATGCAGGGCTTCCAACCAGTTCTGTCACGGACGATGAAGGAAAACCGACCTGAACTGTTACAATCTGGGTGATTTGTCACAGGAACCAGAGTGGGGAAAGCTCTGGAGTGGGAGACTCAGAGAAGTATAGTGAGCCCTTTCAGGAGCCTGATGTATGAGATTGGATTATCGGCAGAGACTGTGGAATGTCTCACCTTCAAAACTGTGCTGTCAGCCACCATCGCTGAGTGGGCTAGCACTGTTTTGAAGCCCTGCTTTAATATTATGTAAATTTGCATTATCTTTGAAACGACTGACCATCCTATGTTGTTAGGTGCCACTGAGTCAGTTCCAACCCATAGCAACCCTGTGCAGGGTTTCTGAGCAGTGGTTGGTGAGCTTGAACAGCCAACCTTGCGGATCAAACCAGCTTTGCAGTCCAGTGTGTTAACCCACAGCGCCACACCAGCACTCTATCCTATACTCACCACAGATTCTTCACAGTCACCTTCATTGCAGCACATCAAGCTTTTCAATTACTAAAAGCAATAGAATCATCATAAAGGCTTCAACTTACCAAACCCATCAAATTGATTGGAACGCACACTAACCCTACAGGGTAGGGTAAAACTGCTCCACAGATTGTAAATGTTTACAGAAGCAGACTCATCTCACAGAAGCCTCATCTCACTCCCTCAAAGCAGCTGGTATGTTCAAATCACTGACCTGTTAGTTAGCAGTCCAGTGCTTAACCCACGGCACCTCTAGGGCCTCTTCCTTGCACTAAAGTAAGGCTAAATATGAACTGTATATACCTGTTTTCACTGACCTAGAAATTCTTAGAGATTCACTTAGGAATGGATTGCCTTTATAATCCAGTGACTACTTATATAGAGAGAAACAGCAAGCTTAACTCTAAGGATAGAATTGATTGTTAAAGATGTTCACGATTAACTGAGGGGGAAAACAAACCCATTGGCATCAAGTTAATTTGGACTTTGTGACTATACAGAACAGAGTGTAGGGTTTCCAGGACTGTAAATCTTTACGGGAGCAGAAAGCCTCCTCTTGCTCCTACAGAGGGGCTGGTGGGTTCAAACCTCTGACCTTGTGGTTAACAGCCCAATTCATAATCCACTATGTCATCAGGCTCCTAATTTAACTGGGTACAAAGATTGAATTGTGAGAACAGACCTCCGTAAGTCCCCCTTTGTTTTTTGTATTTCAGGGAAAAGAGAAGTCACCTGTGGACCCTCAATCTGGTTTTGTCTTTGCTCCAGTGAGTATTCTGCCTGCAACAGATCCGAACTCACGAAAAGGGAGAATAAAACGAAGCCACTCTCTGCTACTTTGTGACCTATCCATTTTCCTCTCAGGGGTTCACTACTCACACTTGACACCATCCCTCCTAGTTTCTCAGCTGTATGGTCCATGGTTTTTTTTTTTGTCTTGTCTCTTGTCTTTATGTGTATTTATAGTGTCCCCATGAACTTCCTTGTCCCCAGTCGACAGCTTCTAAGCCCCTGGCCTGCAGCTTCTCCCAGCCTTACCATCCCATCCCCTTCAGCTGGGTATGTACACTGGGAATATTAGCGCTAAAATGGCCTGGGAAAACCAGAGGAAAAGGAGTCCAGTGGGAGGAGCTGGAGGATCTAGAGAATTGCATGGGTATAGTAGGAGCTCTGGTAGCGTAGTGGTTATGAATCGGGCTGCTAACCCCAAGGTCGGCAGTTCGAAACTACCAGCTGTTCCGCTAGAGAAAGGGGAGGCTTTCTGCTCCCGTAAAGATTTGCAGCCTCGGAAACCCTGTGCAGGGTTACTATGAGTTGGAACCGACTCCACGGCACTTAATAACATCAAGTAGAACCTGCGTGTGTATGATTTTAATAAGAAAGGGGGTCAAGGAGTTTTTCCCAGATCTTTTTCCTCTGTGTCTATCTCCTTATCTTAGAACAAGAATCCAAGGGAAGAGAGGTTCTCTCTAGTGATCCTTGCTCGTGGCCTTCCAGAGGCAGCTCATCGCTGGCCTCGCATCACTCAGCCTGTTCTTAAACGGCCACGTCATGTGCATTGTCACCTGTGCTGTGCAGATGGGCATATGCAGCATGCAGTGATCACTGCCCGCCGGCATGGCAGGTACAGAAAGTGTGATCAAAATGAGTGGGAGGTGGCAAGACTGCAGCCCACATTGACATGTCTTTTCCACAGGGATTTGTATCGCTGTGCCCGGGTGAGCTCCTGGGGAGATCTTTTACCTATAATCACTCCGTCTGAACTTCCTCCATCCCCTGCTCAGGATCCCCCTGAGAGTTGACAAGGACATGTAACCAGTATTTTCTTCTAACGTGCCTGCCAAGACTGAAACTTCCTGGTATCCAGGAAGGATGGTAATACTGATAGTCCCACATGTCTGCTTGTTTGAGGTTTTAATAATAAATTTTTTAAAGAATGTAAATGGCTTTTGTAATTCATTAAGAGGTGGTGGTGGTAGTTGTGTGCTGGGAAGTCAGTTTCGACTCGTAATGACCCTGTATAGGGTTTCCAAGGTTGGCCCAGGATCAGACAGTGTTTCGTTCTGCTGTGCATAAGGTCGCTATGGGTCAATACCGACTCGATGGCATCTAACAACAACAACAGATTTTAACAGGAACAGAAAATCTCATCTTTCTCCCGCAGAGCAGCTCATAGATTCTAACTTCTGGCCTTGTGGTTAGCAGCCCAACTTGTAACTCACTACACTACTAGAACTCATTTCTTTAAGAGGTATCCAAACCACCTCCTCCATACACAGAGTAGACAGGGATGGGCAACTTGGACATTGGCTACCCAAAATAGGGGGAGCTACAAAGGCAAGAAGTGACTGACTTACAAGCTTTCAAGAGGGAGCCTAGATCCCAAGGGCGTGGAGGAAGGTAGAATCTCCACTGAGTAGTATCCAATCTGTCTGGGCAGGGCTGATGAAAGGAGATGCAGATAGGTCTCTTGTGATACAATAATGAATAATTGTTATTAGGACTGATTGTGAGGGTTGGAAATGTAAGACGTTTTGTAGCAAAAGGAGGAGAGTGATTAACTTTGCAGTCTAGGAGCGGAGGTCCCTGGGACCATCAAGGGAGAAGAGTGGAGAGCGGGACCCTACCCAGAGAAGCAGTGATACCAGAGATGGAGGCAGAGACGACGTGGAGAGATGGAGCAGCTGGAGCTAGGGTCTTTAGACCCAGAGAGGGAGAGGGGCTGTGTGCTGACAATCGTTGGTTGGGGGTGGGATGCAGATGGGGCAGGCTTGCAGGGTATACCCTTTGGTTGGTTGATGATGCATGGAGGGGATTGTAACCATGGCAATGAAATTATATACGATAAGATGAATGTAAAACTAATGTTCTCCCATGTAAATTATCACATAATTCACAATAAAACATTTAAAAAAGAAAAAAAGAAGCAAACCAGGAGTGCAGCATGTCCTTTGGACCTGAAGAACCATGCACATTGAACCTCCTGGACCTAGAGACAGAAGTTGTGACACCAGGTTGTGCAGAAGCAGAACCGAGAACTGAAGCAGGAGACAGCAGTGGGATTCTCAGCCCACAGAGCAAGTAAAGCTGAGTAACTTCCTGCAGGAAACTTACTTGTAGAGTAGGCTGCCTCAAAACTAGGTTTGTTGACCCATTGAGCCAAGTGCCTTCAGGCTGAGGCTTATGTTAGTGATGTGTCCTGTGGGCATTTAACAGCAGCTAACTGGAACAACTGTAAACTAAGAATTTGTGACCATGAATTGTAACCTGTTAACTTGCCTAATAAATCCTTAGCTCTGAAAGAAATAAAGAGGTGTCCAAACCAAATCAAACCCATTGCCTTCAAGTCTATTCCAACTCGTAGCAACTACAGGACAGAGTAGAAATACTACTTAGGGTTTTCAAGACTAAACCTTTACTGAGCAAGCAGCCTCATCTTTCTCCCACTGAGTGGGTGGTGGGTTTGAACCACCTATCTTGCAGTTAGTAGCCCAGTGCTTAACCCACAGCACCACCAGATCCCCTTTTAAGATGGACTACTACGCTACCTTGAAAAATAACAAGGAAGCTGCAAGCCACCGCATAACGTGGATGAACCTTGAGGACATTATGTTGAGTGAAATTAGTCTCAAAAGGAGAAATGCTGCATAGGACCACTACTGTAAAAGATTAAGAAAAAGAACCCATACTAAAGGGGGGTGGATTCTTTGCTGGAATGTGGGGGGCGGTGGTAAGGGGTGGGAGTGAAAGGTGGAACACAGGGCAGGGAATAGACAGGATAGTTTGGGTGCTGGGGAGGGGGGAAATATACAAGAAGGGAGAGGTGAATGGAAGAACAAAGCAGATGGGAGAACAATTAGGCAGGTTTGCTTGGGCTAAGTGGGACAAAGGTAAATGATGTATGCACAACCTTGGAACAACAGGGCTCTGGGATACAGAGATTAAGTCATGGTTGGAATGGGGGAGAGGGGGGAATAATGTTAAGATGCTTGACTGTCTTTTGAATTGTGCATTATATTATAAAATAGACACTGGAGGGGGAGAGAAAGGAATAGCCAGAAACATCACCATAGAAAGCTTATAAGTCCGTCTTCTGCCTATAAATGATTGGAACACCTAAAATGGGGCTACAAGTGCCCAGTGAAGGAGGCTTCCTGTGAAGCCTCTACATTACATAAGACTATATAGGTGGAAGCCTGAACCACATCCAGATCTTCAGAGATGGGAAATTTCCACTTGAAAGGACGAGCAGACCAGCCTGGAGTGGCAAGAAGAACAGAAGATACTTCTTGAAAGAAAGACCTACAGGAAAAATACAAAACAACATAGGCAGACCGACTGTTACTACAAGAATAAGCAAGTTGCTCGCCCAGGAGAAATCAAGACAAGTGGTCAGGTCCCCTCAGTCTAAACCCCCTTCCAAGACTAAGACTCAATGGGAATACACGCTCTGATTGGTGACCACGCTCGTCACTGATAAGGGGAAGTGAGGGGAAAATAGCAATGAAGCCCTACAATGTTCAATAGACTTCTGTGAACCCAGGTGGAGACCTGGTTGGCCAGCAGTGTGGCAAGACCTGGGAACTCTTGGGCCCAGAGTCAGTGACACAGCCACGGAGGACTACAGTGGAGAGTGAATCATCCAGCTGATAAGAAGAGAGGGCATATGCACAAGAACACCCACACTTGCAGATAATACCCACTTGACCTAGCTTCAATGACTGGATGATCAGAGCTCAACCAGAAGAAGAAAGAGGGGGGAAAAGCAAAATCTGATACAATTTGATGAACTTGACCTACACCTATGGATGCAGTAGTTCAAAAGAGGAGACAAATCCTTACAGCAAGGATCATTCCCACCCCCTCCATACACAGAGTAGACAGGGATGGGCAACTTGGACATTGGCTATCCAAAATGGGGTGGGGCTACAAAGGCAAGCAGTGACTGGCTTACAAGCTTTCAAGAAGGAACCTAGATTCAGAGGGCATGAAGGAAGGTAAAATCTCCACTGAGTAGTATCCAATCTATCTAGGCGGAGCTGATAAAAGGAAATGGAGATGGGTCTCTTGTGATACAATAGTGAATAATTGTTATAAGGACTGCTTATGAGGGTTGGAAATGTAAAGGTAGATGTTTTGTAGCAAGGAGGGGAGTGATTAACTTTTCAGCCTACGAGCGGAGGTCCCTGGGACAATCAAGGGAGAAGAGCGGAGAGCGGGACCTTACCCAGAGAAGCAGTGATGCCAGAGATGGAGGCAGAGATGATGCCGTGGAGAGATGGAGCAGTTGGGGACTTTAGACACAGAGAGGGAGAAGGGGCTGTGTGCTGACGACCGCCGGGCAGGCTTGTAGTGTATACCTTTTGGTTAGATGATGATGCATGGAGGGGATTGTAACCATGGTGATGAAACAATATATGATAGGATGAATGTAAAACGAATGTTCTCCCATATAAACTATCACATAATTCACAATAAAACATTTTGAAAAAAAAGAGAGAGAGGTATGTTGAATCAGTTCCAACTCAGTGGTGCTGTATAGGGTTTTCAAGGAATGGCTGGGATGTTAGAACCGCCAACCTTACGGTAGCAGTCTAGTGCTTATCTTCCAGAGCCACACCAGAACTCCATTATCCTGGCCCACCCTAGAGTAAAGAGACTCCTCAAGTTCTCAGTGCGAAGCTTCCACACAAATCTCAAGCTCTTCTTTTCCTGTAAACACTACTGCTTCTGCCAGGGACCAAAGCTTCTCAGGGCAGGCAGCCTGGGATAGTGGGGACAGCCACCCCCAGCTCTCTGAGAACTGGCTCAACAGGTCTCAGGGTTGTTTAGCCAGGTACCTGAATAGGGGAACCAGCAGCTGCAGAGCCTCTATTATTTTCTACCTCCTTCCCTTCCGTCTTTCCCAAGGTCCCTTGGCTACCCTGGAGTTTATCACAAACATTCTCCTCAAGTTTATTCCAGTCAGGACTGAATCTTCCATTGCCGCCCATGTATGCCCAAGACCTTTCAATTTATTTGGTGTAGTACTATTTTCCCCGCTAGACCTTACATTTTCTGGGATAGAACCGTTTTCCCTATCTTTAAGTTCTCAGACCCGCTCCTCTAATTCAGAACAGGAAGTGGAGGCACAGTTGGAAGTTGTGACACTATCAGTGTTGCAATACTAGAAAACTTTGTTCTAGACATTTTCATGCCTACAGGGGTTTTGCTGGGGTTATAGGAAAGGGGGAAGTCCCTCACATCCTAGCTCCCACAGAGCAGTGGCAGTATCACCTCAGCCCCACCTCATTACCCACAGGTGGCCCCAAATCCCCTCTTAAAGGGTGCGGTTCAAGTGTCAGCATAGCAACCTCCTGTAAGGTTGGGGTGGAGGGCATATGGAAGGAAGGCTTAGATCAAATGTCCTGAGTGAGGCAGGACCAGATTGTCCCCAGCACAAAACATTATGACCTCCCATTTTAGATTCAGTCAGCCCCAGGCATGACCTAAGACTGTTCACAGCCCTTGGATTCGTCACAGTATTGAAGAGGAGGAGAAGTCACACCGCACTGGGCTGTGCCTGGCTGGGAGTCTGGAGTTTCTGGTTGCGAAGCTCAGGAAGGTGCGAGCCGGGCGGGGCCTCCGTGTAGGAGAGGGCGGGAAGTGGGGACAGAGCCCTAGTCAGCTATACAACTCTGCACAGAGGCCATACTAAGCAGAAAGGAAACCAAGAGTCTCCTGACACTCAGGGCTGAGTGGACACTCCAGCTTTGACCACCTAAAATTACCACTCCTGCTCCAAAGACTATAACTCCATCTGTCATCCGGTACATCTGCTTTTCCTACATCCCAGGGATGGACCTTCTACTAGGAGTCAAAGTCGGCTGCCTCTTTGCTCTGCTGGTTCTCACCCTGGTCTGTGGACTTATTCCCATTTGCTTCAAATGGTTCCAGATTCATATAGCCACAGGTATGTTGTTGTTATTAAGTGTCGTCTAGTCAGTTTCGACCTATAGCGACCCCGTATGGGTTTCTGAGGAGTGGCTGGTAAGTTTGGACTGCCAACCTTGCAGTTCAAGTCAACCTTGTGGTGGTTGAGTGCTTATCCTACAGTGCCACAGCCCTACTCTGTCTTTGTCCCGATAACTGATGTCTTACATCAGCCCTATCCTGACGCCTTGCTCTGATTCTCTCATCATCCCCACGCTTGGAATTTTGAGTGCTGCCTCTTCCTCCACGGCCACGTTTCCTGTTTCCTTAGTTCCAATTGGATTGTGACATCTGCTTTTTATTAGGTTGCCACCGGCAGGTCCTCAGCCTCCTGGGCTGTACTTCTGCAGGTGTTTTTCTGGGAGCAGGGTTCATGCACATGACAGCTGAAGCTCTGGAAGAAATTGAATCAGAGATCAAGAAGTTTATAATACAGGTGAGAGACAGAGATGCTGATTTGCAGAGCTATGTGACTAGAATGATGAACAGAACCAAGAGAAGAAAGCGGGAAAAGGGATAGAGTCAAGGGCCTGGGTGAAAGCTCTTGTACTGTGTGCAATGATGAAAGGAATTCTGAATGGGCTTTAAGGAACAGAGCAATGAAACTGAGCTCTTCCATCCCCCATCTAATTCTTGATTTGTTTCTCCCTAGAACAGGACAGAAATGAGGGAAATTCTTCTGATGTTCCTGATCCACCTCTGGTGAGCATTCCCTAAAAGCCCCCTACCTGAAGAGTAAAGTGAACCAGTAACTCCCTTCAGGCCTCGACCCTTGTGAGGGAAGTATGTGAGGAGTACCAGGAGCCCCTTCTGCTCCTCAGCTCAGACAGAACCACTCCAATCCTTTTGAGTTTCAAAACTTCATTTTATTCTTTCCTTGGATCTTTTGACATGTTTCATATCATTTCCTATACTTCTAACCTTATTGATGTTGTGTCTCATAGGCCCTCTGGCATACTTTTTATTGCATGTCCATATCTACTCGTGACTTCATTTCCCCATCCTTTTTTATGTCCTGTTACCATGTTTCCCCATTCTCTTCAATTTCCTAATCCCATGCCCATCCAATACACTGTCTTCACTTCCTTTCCCATCTCATAGCCTTGCTTTCTGCCCCTAGATGGGATATCCCTATGGAGAGCTCATCATTTCCCTGGGCTTCTTCCTGGTCTTCCTTTTGGAGTCGCTGGTATTGCAATGCTTCCCTGGGGCTACTCAACGATCAACAGTGCAAGAGGAGGAATGGCATGGGACTCATGTCTTTGGACTCCACAGCCATGGACACCTACCTTCATCATCACAGGGTCCCCTTCGAGCCCTCATCCTCTTGCTCTCACTCTCCTTTCACTCGGTGTTTGAAGGTCTAGCTGTGGGACTTCAGCCAACAGTGGCAGCTACCCTGCAGCTGTGTCTTGCTGTCCTGGCTCATAAGGGGCTGGTAGTGTTTGGTGTAGGACTGCGGCTGGCGCAGATAGGCACTAGACCACGATGGGCCATGTTCTCCATACTAGCATTGGCACTCATGTCCCCGCTGGGCCTCGCTGTAGCCCTGGCTGTGGCTGGAGGAGACTCTGAAGGAGGGCGGGGACTAGCCCAGGCAATATTAGAGGGAGTGGCAGCTGGCACTTTCCTATATGTCACCTTCCTAGAAATTCTGCCCCGGGAATTAGCTGTTCCTGAGGCCCCTCTGGCCAAGTGGGGCTGCGTAGCTGCTGGGTTCGCCTTCATGGCCATTATTGCATTGTGGGCATGAAAGATCCCTGACTTTTCTAAAGGACTTATCTAAGATGACCTGCCTACTCCCAGTGGCTTTGGCCCTTGGCTGTTTCTTCAGTGAGGATAACTGGCATTCACTAGGCATTATCCCCATGGACTAAACCCCAGCTTTTACATACATGAAATCCATTTTCTCACCCAGGATTGAGAAAAGGATGTTTAGGTTGCATGCCTATAAATTGGAGAATTGCTATAAAGACCATCACTCCAGATTTTACTCTTGCTCCATTTGTGCTATTGTGGTCATTAAAGGTCTGTTGTACCCTTCCCCTTCAGTCATGCTGTGTTTTATTTCTCCTGGTTGCCTAGAAGCTGCCTGGTACAGGAAGTGGTAGAGTGGGAAGTAAAAAGGGCAAGTTTTGGATGCAGTATTTTCTCCTGGAATCAGGACCCCTCACCATTCTACCACAGTTACAGGTCATGCTCTCCATACATTGGTGCATCGTTGACATTCCAACAACCCCTCCTACCTTCTCACAGGTGTTGAGAAACTATGCTATAGTTGCCAGCACTAAGAGTGGAAATAGGTTTAAAGCATAGGAACCTTTGGGGATTTGGATCGTTCCTACATTAACCATGCCCATCCCACTATCAGTACCTACCGTCAACCTCTGTCCTCATGCTCAACAGACTCTTGAGGTCAGGCTAAACGGAGCCTATTTCTGTCTGGTTCCTATTTTTCACATTGAGCCCTTTGTGGCCTCGGGGACATTACTGCGCTTCTCTGAGCTCCTGTCTCCTTCCGGCTGCCTTGTGCTAGGGGATTAAGAAGCAGTGTGTTTGGAGAGGGAGAAAGGTGCCAGATGAATACCTAGGGTGATTAGTTGGCTCTGCCATGACTTTCTGCCTGCCCTACCCCCAACCCTGCCACTGTGCCTCTGGCCACTCTCCACAACACCACTTGTCTTTTAATGTGCTGAGGACAAATACAAAAGCAGGTTATCTAGAAGCCAGATGAAGTAGGATGACTGTTGCCTAGGCCTGGACCCATGAAATGGAGGACTTGCTGGTGTGGTGCTGTGGGTTAATGCGCCAGACTGCAAAGCCGTTTGAATTGCAAGGTTGGCGGTTCAAGCTCATCGGAAACCCTACACAGGGTCACTATGGATTGGCACCGACTTGACAGCACAAAACAACAACATCTCAGACTTGGTGGAGAAATACAGGAAGGAGAAGGAGTTCCCTATGAGTTCATTCACCCTTACCAGTTTGCCCTTTCTAATATTTTCAGCCCAAGATTCCTTAGCATGGACAAGGCCTCCTGAGTTTTATTTTTGTCTCAGTCTACATCCCCTGTCCAACCAGTTCCCTTCCCCTCAGTGCAAGAAATTAAGAAATAAAGGCCTCCTCACAAACCCAGCTTACATATCCAGGAATCAGTGAGAAGGTAAGCTTCAGGCAAAAAGAAGGGGGAAAAAAGCTTTAGGAAATAATTCCCCTGAAGCACCAAAACAAGTTTCAGAAAGTAATTCCCCTGAAGCGCCATCTAATGTTGTTAGTTGAGTCCAACTAACAACCCTGTATAGGGTTTCCAAGGAGTGACTGGTGAATCTGAACCGCCGACCTTGCAATTCAAAATTGATCTTGCAATCTAGTGCGTTATCCCACGGCACCATACCAGGACTCCAAATGTAGTAATATGTACTATAGTATTGAGCATCTATTATGTACCAGGCACTGTGCCATTGCTTTCAGATACATTTGTCACCTTTACAATGCTGTTGTTGTTAAGTGTCATCAAGTCAGTTCTAACTCATAGCAACTCTGTATAGGGTTTCCGAGGAGCACCTCGTGGGTTTAATCTGCCGACCTTGTGGCTAAAACTGACCTTGTGGTCCAGTGCATTATTCTGTAGTGCCACACCAGGACTCCAAGTTTACTAGATACAACTCTACTAGGTAGATACTATCCCCATAGTAAGTCTAGGGTAACTGGCATTCAGGAAAAACTTAAATAACTTATGCATAGCTAACTTGGCTTCAAATCCACATTTCTCTGATTCTAAGACAAGCTCAATAGATACAGATTCTCTTCCTCCTTACTTTTACCTTACCATTCCTCCCATCTTTCCATTCTATCTATTAGGATCCTAGTGGGAAGTAGATAACAGATCATTGAGGCAAGTTTAACAAAGGGACCATTTAGTAAGTTGTAGAAAGGGTTTGTAGAAGTAACAAATGATGGTGCAGTGCTCCAGGACTGAAAAATAACAATGCTGTTACCATCCATAGGCCAAAGAAAAGGAAGCAGTTACCAGCAACTAGACAAGGTCATCCAATAAGAGCTGTGGCTTTTGGTAGAGGGATAGCTCCAATCTGCAGGGACCAGATATGGAGGAACAGAAGAATAACCTCACTCTCCCACTCATGGACATACTGCCGATGTCTCATTACCCAATCAGAAGCCAGGGAACAAAAATGTCTGTTGGTGAACTATAAACAAGTCAGCGTCATGGGCCACACAACAGAGCAGAGAGCCCTAAAGGGGCCAACAAGATTGCAGTCCATCCTCTGCTCCTTTCAACTCAAGTATTCTTCTTGCCAGGACTTTGTTGTTGTTGTTAATTGCTGTCGAATTGGTTCCAACCCATAGCAACCCTGTATAGCGTTTCCAAGGAGTGGCTGGTGAGTATGAACCACCAACCTTGTGATTCAAACCTACCTTGTGGTTGAGTACTTATCCGATAGCACCACACCAGTACTCTGCCAAGACTTCGGAAGGGATCAACTGGAAGGGACATGATTAAATAGAAGTTGGAGAACTATCTCTAACACATGGAATTTGTATGACTGTCGAAAGGAGACTTAAGTAGAAGTCCATGAAGACTATCAGAGTTCTTAATTATGATTCTAGGCCACTGATTCTATCAGTATATGAGGTAAATGACATGAAGGTTGGGATATTTCAAAATGTGTGAGTCATGCATTTTTTGCCTTCCTCTAACCCAGAGTCCTTGCATTCCTCTTTAGTCTTCTCTGCTTTCAGCCATAAATACTTTCCTTCCCAGTATAATTTCCTTTCACTTCCCCAAGATTCTTACCAACCAGGCAGGACCAGAATTAGCTTTAGTTTAAACCATATTGTATCAAATGTTGGAATAGGCTAGAAAATGGTTCCATGGAGATAAAATGATGGGGGAAACTCAGGATCAGAGAAAGGAAAGAATGTAATCATTTTCAAAGGATATGACTCCACAGCAAAGCCCCAGAGAAGACTTGTTGTTTTGTTGTTGTGTCGTGGAGTTGGTTCCGACTCATAGCGACCCTGAACAGGGTTTCAGAGGAGTGACTGGTGGGTTTGCATGCAGTCTAGTCCTTTTCCTACAGTGCCACACCAGGACTCCTAGAGAAGGGAGCAAATGAGTGTGGTTTCTGAATGGCACTGATACAAGGAAGGCTGGAATAAGAACAGGTCTACAAACCATAGGCAAGGTGGCTGCGCTGAGCTAGCTTGGTGTGGTGAGTAGAAGCCAACTGCAGAGTGAGCCTGGACTCAGGGAAAAGATGGGTTATAAATGAAGGCTGCTTGAATGATAAAAGTTGAGACAAAAATTGGAGGATATGTAGACTGGGGAAAAGGGTAAGAAAAGAAGCTAGTCAAAATAGTCACAGGGTAATTTATGTGGAACAATTCTCAAGTGTCCCAGTCCCTCTTCTCTACCCCTCTTTCTCCTTGCCTATACAAGCATTTTTTAATATACATAAACAGGAAAGAGACCAGACTGAGACCTTCAACTACCCCCTGCCCCAGAGCCAGCTTTCCATCAGTACCACCAAGAAATTGTTCTCTGAAGTAAAACTTTAAAACTCCCTCCATCTTTCCCTCACTTACAAACTGAGAGTTTGATTTGAATATTTCAGCTGTTATTGTCATTGTCAAGTGCCATGGAGTTGGTTCCAACTCACAGTGACCCAGTATAGGGTTTCTAAGAAGGGACTGTTGAGTATGAACCACTGATCTTGCAGTTGTAGGATAATTATTTGTGAAGAAAGGGGTGTCAGCATCAAAGACAAAACCAGAATTTAGGAACTATCCCAGCGCAGAGTGGGAAGTCAACCAGAGAGCAACACCCAAGGGCAAGATGGAAGCAGGAAGAAAAACCAAGGGGTTCCAGACTAACTCTGATGACAGAATTTGTACTGTTTCACCCCTCTTTCTGAAGGGCGATTTTGAAGTATCTTGCCTCCCTCATAATAGGAAATAGCTCCTTGCTCCTGGCTCACATTTGGTAGACTACATGGCATAGCTGCCAAAATTTGAGTGGTCCAGTATGTGTGAGTGTGGCAGCCATCCAGACACACTGTCATTAATCCCACTTCCCAGGGTGGGAGCTCATTGCTACTAGAAAAGGTGGAGCAAAAGGGGTACAGACAGGGATTGTGTCCCCAGACCCCAGTCTGTGAGGGTGCTTAAAAGATGCCAGGTATGGAATTTATTTTTTTAATTGTTCTCAGTTACTGACTTTAGATTTGTTGAATGTCAAATACAAAAACTAAACATTCTAACTTAATTACCATGATAAGTCAAAAAGTATTGCTGCATGAATTTCAGCTCATACATGCATAGGTTTATTCCAAACAAAATGTGCTTCAGCATGCCTCTGTGATCAGTGGGTGGCTGTATTACAAATTCTCTCAGAAGGCACTTGTCTTAGTCTCCTTAGAGTGCCTTCAAAAGGAAGTTCCAATCAAAACAGTGATTTCCAAGGGGATCTGCTGAGCCAGTTAAATTCAAGGCAAAGAGGTCAACGCAGAAGGTTTTGGCAACTGTTTTTGGAGCTTATTTGTGGGGCTGAGGATTTCCAAGGGATAATCTTGATAGATTTTCTAGAAGAGCATAGAACAATTCTGTGGTTTATGAAAAAGTTTTAAGAAAATTGAAAATTGCATTAGTGAGAAAAGGACAGAAAAGTTGCACTAAGGAATGTTTTCCATCATAGTAATATACCTGCCACCAGTATTTTAAATACCAGCAGGG